CTTAAATGATTTTGTCAGATGATGAAATTATTTTTACACTCTATTATTATTATTTTTTAAATATTTTTTTTTGTTTTTATTTGACAGAGAGAGAGGCAGTGAGAGACGGAACACAGGCAGGGGGAGTGGAGAGGGAGAAGCAGGCTTCCTGTGGAGCAGGGAGCCCGATGCGGGGCTCGAACCCAGGACCCTGGGATCATGATCCAAGCCGAAGGCGGACACTTAAGGACTTAGCCACCCAGGCGCCCCTGCACTCTATTATTGAGAAAGTAATTTTAAACCTAAAATACTATAACCAGAAAAAAATTTATTTTTGGACTTTTGTGTTATTTAATTGTCTTCTTTTTCTCTTTTCCTTTCCCCTTCTTATTTTTTCTTTTCTTTTTAAACTTAATATTTTATTATTTAGTATTTATTATGTTAGTAGTAGTAGTATTTCTTTCTGTAAAAAGCCATAGTACAAAAGAGCAATTAGCATATGCAGCCATAGCTCCAGTGAGCTAGCAAAATTCAGCAATTACATAGAAGCCACACAGGGGACACCACACACAAGACCATTCCTTCAGGTTTAGAAGACGTAGCTATTCACCTAACTCATAGAATCAAACACAAAAACACAAACAAAACTGGGAGACAGAAGAATAATATATACCAATAGAAAATAAAAACAAGGAAAAAACAGAAAAAGATGTAAGTTAAACAGAGATAAAAAATATGCCTAATGAAGAATTTAAAGCAATGATCACAAAGATCCTCACCAGGCTGGAGAAAAGGGTGGAATAAATCAGTGAATACTTCATTAAAGATATAGAAAATCTAAAAAAGGAAGCAGAGTCGTAGAATACAATGGGAATAAAAATCACAATAGAAAGAATCAACAGTTGATTAATGGATGAGAAGAACATGTCAGCGATTTGAAGACAGATTAATGGAAAGCAAACAAGTTGAACAACAAAAAGAAAAGAATTTTAAAAATGAGGATAGAGGCACCTGTGTTGCTCAGTCAGTTAAGCGTCTGCCTTTGGCTCATGTCATGATCCCAGGGTCCTGGGATCAAGCCCCACGTCAGGCTCCCTGCTCAGCAGGTAGTCTGCTTCTCTCTCTCCCTCTGCCTACCACCATTCATGCTCTCTCTCTCTCACTCACTCTGCTCTCTCTCAAAATAAATAAAATATTTTTAAAAATAAAATAAAA